CATTTTTTGTATAGATTTTTTCATGAATATGGTAAGAATTAGATAAAGTGTGGCATCTCCGTTTACCATAAAATAAAGAACTTGACATATAATTACTATGAAATAGTATCTGGAGAAATAAATGTTTCTGGTAAAATTTTAATCCAATCCAATAAAACAGTGTTGGAAGTGTTCAGAGAAAGGATCGAAATTATAATTACTAACATAGAAGTTAATATTGAAACCAGCAAATCGAGCATACAAATTATCCAAAGATTTCAATCAATAAATTTTATCATATAGATCAATACCAACGTTTAATAGCAGATACGAAAATAGACCAATCACATACCAATGCCCTGGTTATTAACCTGCTTGATAACAGCAAACCAACAAATAGACTTAAACTTTAAATCACTCGATTTATTATATAATACTAAACATCCACCAGAAAATTTTGTTAGAAATCACAAGTATATTGAAAGACATAAGTTCTGCCAATGGAATTTATATAAATTCTTAAATAATCATTTCAGTCCCATCTGACATAAATCGTATATTATGATAGATTTAAGATTAAACCGTAAATTCTAGACAGAGATAATCATCAAGGATAAATAATTTAAGGGTCTAAACAAGTCAAAATTATAATATTAAGAAGATTTTTCATTTTCTAGATTAATTTATATCTTTCAATAAACACATTAAGTATATTTATTTACTCGACACAAAACTACTTCTCCAACAACTTTATTTGAAAATTGCTGGAAAGAATCATGCAATAGCTTAAATTAAATATGTATGTAATTAAATAGCTTTAAATTTAATTGTTAATTACTGGAATTGCTTTAATGAATTCTTATAATAATAAGTAGTTACTGTTTACTTCGAAAATATAGTGTAACATAAATTATAAAATAATTGAATTCTGTTTACAGGAAAACAATCACTTTAATGTATGTTTATTATTACATTTATTTATTATTTACTGTTAAACTATAAAGTACAAATTAATGTTTTATAAAACAATATTAATAGAAATAGATTTAGAACTTTCAAATTATGTTGACATTATTATATTAAAATGAATTATATATAAAGTTTAGCCTAAAAAAAATAAAATTATTTATTTTTGAAAATGTTATTATTTCTTGAATTGTGTAATTCAATTTTGAACATAATTGATCTTTCCTCGATTAGTCCGGTTTTACTTAGTCTCGGATATTAGCAAAACCCATAACCCGGACAATGCGAGGTATTGCTATTTAGATTATTATGATATAATGTAACTATAGTAAGCTCGCTTCGATTAACGCTGATTTGCTCTAACGCGTTTTGCTGGAATCCTTAAAAAGCTCAAAATTTACCCGGATTCAAAGTATCGCGGAATGTCATCGATTCGTATATAATACGATTATTCCCGAAAACGTAGCGAATTTTTCCTCAAAATCTATGCTTGTTTGAGATGTAGATGAGCAGGATATTAAGGAGTTACTGCAGGTTTCTGACCTTACCAACGACGACTTTCAATAGTGATTATGAAGACGATGAACCAAAAGCACATGGCTACAGATTTTCTTAAAAAAAGTTTAGAAACGATAACCGAAATCGTTGATCAAATTATAGCGAATGGTTCATATGTTGACAGGAGTGCAAAAGCAAAAAGAGCAGGCGAACGTACAAAAGCCTGCTACCATCAGAAAGTGACATATGACTCAAAAATATCACAAGAGCCAAGACCATCATGACAAAAATAAACTTAATATTTTTCTATGCAAATGTTTGTGTTATAGAAAACATAGATTATAATGCAAATTACTATAAATACAACTTAAAATTAAAGCAAAATTTGTGTTTCCGTTTCCCTATTTGCTATGTTTTCAGGAATACATCTAAAGTGCTAAACGAGGTCTTACTATATACAGTATATATACTATTTATAATAAAAATCTATGAATTTTAATAAGAAATTAAGTCATTTCGGATAACATTGACGTAATTCGCTCCAGTGAAATCGGATTAAAATATATTTTAGTAAGTACAAGAGATTAGCCTAAAAAGTCATTGACGTATAATAATTGTTGTTAATTTGAAATATTTGTATAATGTTTTTTTTTTTCTATAGAGATCAGACTATTAGAAATTTGATGGCATTTGGTTTCAGTCATTTCGAATTACGTTGACATGAAGAAATCGTAGTGAAATATCTCTGAGTAAGTATAATAGACCGTATCCTAAAAAGTCATCGAGGAGTAAAAGAGGAACGAAACGGCATCCAGATGGCTGTGATTACAAGAAAATGGTGTCTTTCGTAAAACAAAGGCGCTTAATAAATAGAATCGGTCATGGATTATTAAAATTTCCGACCGCTCTAGGGAGAAATGATGGATGGAGGATGTTCGAATCAATTTAAATTGATATGCGGGATACGACGTACGATTTTCTGAAAGCAAACAGAATTACGGCGATAACCATCTGGAGTGTTTTGTATTATATTTAATTCAATAATTCAAGTGGAATAATGTCGACAATGGAGAAACACAAGAAGATAAAAAAAGGATTTAGAAGAGGCGAAAACGCATACAAGAAAGGTGACCAGGAACTAATGGTTTCCTTTATAGTGTTAGCTCCTTGAGACTTAACTGAACAAATTTCTGCTCCACAAGTTTCATAGATCATAATTTCGTGTTTACCGTAAATCCGAATGCAAATAAATCTCGTTTTCTCTCTGTACCATTTATTTTTGCGCTAATTACTTGCGCACGATATTATTACATAATCAGAGCGATTACCATGTATTCGTGTTGCTTCTCTTTTGTATTTCCTTCGATCGGTTCGGATGCAAAACGTAACGGAGCATCGGAAAATGTATGTTTTAATATTTAACGATTTTGCATTTTCAAGTGAAATAAAAACATTCCTCTCGCATCGACGTATTTTATTTCCCGTCTCGTGTTTCCTTCACGGAGATTTATATATTTTATTTTAATTTTGCAAAAAGGACAAGTTATAATACCTCTTGCATCGCTGCACGTTATGTATAATACGAAATGAATTTCATACAACTGCTAGAATCTCGCAACTGGAATTATAATCAGCATTACAGTAATTAGTGTAATCATTATGTTTATGCTGCATTATATTAATTTGCAAAAACAATTAGTAAACAATGTAATTGCTTCCTATTGACAAAGATTTTACATTTTATTATTTCTTGGTAATTAAACACTGTAAAATGTTTGTTACAAATAATTTGATTATTAATTGAAATAATATATTTAATAAGAAAATAATTAGATTTACTTTTTATAGATAATTTTTAAGATATTGAATGGAACGTCCAGAAAACAATAGAAAAACATATTTTCTAAAATATTCCATATTATCCAAATTAAATACAAGTAAAGGTAAAAAACATATGTTTTTACTGTCATTATCACTTTTTGTAAATTATCCTTTTTTCGATTTGTATCAAATATGTAATATAAAATCAATAAATTGATTTTATTTGGACAATTTAAAATAAATTTTAAAAAATATTAAAAATTAAATATAATTAAATAATTTATTAATTATACTGTAATTAGGAATACAGTAAAATTTTAAATGTAATGCGCATACTTAATTCAACCACAAATTACGTCGTAAAACGTAAATTCATTTTTAATTTGGATACTTAACTTTTCATGATTTTAAATTAATGAAAAAATTAATATGAAACTTCTACTTAAATACAATCACAAATATTAATAGGTAATTGTAGAAAATACTACTCCGCACAAAAACACAAAACTTATTTTATTTTTATTTAGTTTTTCTAACAATACATTTAGTGTTAAGACAATTAATATCAAAATAATCATATCAATAATTTTTAATATTACATACATTTCTAAAATAAAATTTAAATTAAAAAAATTAAACGAAATTAATAAATATTGCATATATAAAAATTTAGTTATAAAAAAAGAAATGTCTACTTCAATAATAAAAGAAATTATTTTCATAGATTCCATAAATAATAAGATGTTACAGCAATATTCCGGTTATTGGGTTCAATATCCTGAATGCTTGAAACCGGACTAATCGAGGACTTTAAACATGTAATTATAAAATATTTTTGTGATTAATTAAGATTTGATTGAAATTGCTGTACTTATTTTTGTTTCGGTTTCAGTACATTACAATGCAAATCTTTGGAAAAAAACAAGTAATTTTTACTTATAAAAGATATATAGGTAAAATACTTATGACTACATTTCAATTTAGATTTCATAATATTACTTTGATTGACGTTCACTGTTGAACTAAAGTGAATACATAAGTATCTTCATGGTTAAAATGCACATAATTGCATAATACATTTGAAAATATTCTTGTAATACACGTTGATCGTTTTGCTTATACATGCTGTTTCTTTTAAATTAATCTTAATCTTAATGTTTATTTCATAGGGTTTGCCAATTTTTTTTGTTATTTCACATATAATACATATGCAGACCGTAAATAAAATGCACTGTGTTTCCGAGACAAACACAATGGGCACATATAGAATCGTTAAAGTGTGATTCTAACGCCCAAACGGTCAGTTTCATAAACATCGCCCATACAATTGTCCGAGAAAAATGATTATTTCCACTCAATTAGCTTACACCTCTCTTCACTCCCTTATCTGAGCTCGACTCCTTCTTCATCTACCTGAGACCGGAGGAGACTGGTAGAAAATAATAAAAAGAGAGCGTGATTCAATGTAATTACAGATTTCACTCCTACGCCCAGGCAAACATCACGAGTTTTCATAAAGCACGGCCCGTTTCAGCGGCGCGTATATCTCACTTCATTTTGTTCTCTCTCTTTATATTCTCATTTTTTTTCGTTGTTGTTGTTGTTCATTCTCGATCTTTGCTTTCAGCCTGAAAAGCCGCCTTTAATTGGATGGGAAGAATTGAAATGATGCATTAACTTCGATGCCCGAAATCGTAAAACCCACCAGATAAATGCACTTTTATTGAGGATCTTACCTTGCGAGCTGGAATTCCTGCTTCGGCTGCTCCGGCTGCTGCTCTTCGACGCCGCCTCGACTACTTTGCTGAGCCTCTTCTGTAACGCTTCCTTCTCTCGGTATCTACAATTAAAAAACGTGACTCAATACAACAAACAAATGCAATTACACAAACACAACAACGGGGAACGCTTGAAAATTGGTAAATTATGAAGGAGGAAGTGAATGGCAATTAGATCCGTTTATCTCGCAACACGTAACATCAGCTTATTTAGTACAAAAGATGGCTCACGAATGTCCAAATATTTTCTATTGTTGTACTTTAATTATGTAAACACATATCTTCAGGTCTTTTATATTCACAACCAACCATTCACAAATATACATGATAATTATCTTTACTTCTATCAATTATAAAAATCTACACTCTATTTTTTGTATATTTATTTTAATACAAATTCTCAACGAAAATTTACATTTTCAGTGGTGAGAAATATATTTTACAATCATAAATTATTAACAATACTTCATCAGTAATGTTTGTAACTTTCAAAAGATTTCCAACACAATTGTCTATGAACCACAAATTACTTTAAAAATCTGTATCAGCTTTAAAACGTATTATCTTATATACAATAATAGTTTGATAAATATAAGTGTATGGAGTAAATTTTATTAATTGTGCTTCTGTTTTTTCAATCAAAAGAAAATCCATTTTATCACCCAACCAAATAAAAATATACAAGACAACCATTGCTTAACTTTTGTAAGTGGCAATACCTTAACTACTTGAAAATTGACATCATCATTAATAAATTACTTATTCTAAGGAAAATTAATTTAATATTAAAATACGTATATTATTATTGCTATTGTTATATATTATTGAAATGTATTTAATAATTAGCAATTTATTTGAAAAATCTATCGAGTGCAATTATTGATGATTTTTCTAAATTTTTCTATAATTTTTGGCATAAATATTAGGAAGTTTCATAAATTAATAAACTTTAAACATATATTATATGTATGTTGTCTTGTATTTAAAGCTGTGAAGATGCATCCAAATATGATGAAAACATATAAGGACATTCCTTTTTCAATAATTTACCAGCATCAACAACCGTTACTAAATAGCTTTCTTTGGGAGGATAATTTTAATTGCATCCTATTCTTTTCGTTTAACTTTTATTATTGCAATAAATATAACATTTATTTATTACACTTGCAAGAGATACAAATCTTTTTTCTCTAATAATATAACTGTATTTAATATATATTGCGATGCATACGGGTTTTTAATGAAATACATCATTTTTCTCTAACTGTATTCACAATTATTTTTTTCATTTGACATGTTTATATCTAAGTACGACATGGATGAACAATGCTATGAAAATTAATTAATAATAGCAAATATTTTCAGAAATTTCCATATTTACTCTTAATTTTTTGTAATTATTGAATTTGGTCTAATTGGCCAATAAATCATAATCGAATTGAATATTTAAGAAATTTGATCAAGTTTATTGGCAAATTAACACAATTTCATTGAATTATATTTTAATTGAAAAACCATATTTATTATTACAATACTAAAATACGTAACAAACCATTGTTCTATAGAACAAATAGATTTTTTTTAAATAACTTATTCATTCAAAAAGCCGCGTGTGCTCTTTATATTTAATTATAAAAAATAGTACAATACGAAAAAAAACAAATATTTGGGAATGAGTCTGGATAAATATTGACACAAAATATACATATAAAAATAGGATAGGCATCATAAAGCAGGGATTGTGGAACTTTTTTTTACCTATTACCTCAAATTATATATTCCTTGATCTCGTCTTTTACATTTACCATTAAAAAAACGAGATGGGTGAGACTATGAAAAGTGGTAAAGTCGTACTCGACCTGAGTGGACGTTAAGCTAGAAGGAAGGCCATCATCATGAACAACAATGGTACATTTGACAAACAGTACGAACATGCTTTGATCGCTGGAATCGACCACTGTCCAAGAAAAGTGCAAAATCAGGATCCACATTGTATTGAACTACAATCACTTAATTCCCACTTGTTACACCGTCGACCTTCCATCAGAGAGCAAGATCTCGATGAAGGACCTCTAGGATCCGAGGAAAAGTATAAAATGGGAAGGAATAAATGGTTCTTCCAGAAACTGAGGTTCTAGATTATGACTCTTTATATTAATGTAAAAAACTTGATTTTATGGTTGTAGCAAAATACATCAACTTCCTCCTCAATAATTTATAATATCATATTTGTGAAATTCCTTATGACCACCAATAATTTCTTTTTTACAGCCTACACCTGTCATAAATAAAGCCTGAAATGTAACAATCAGACTTGCTTTCAGACTAGTTTTGTATATTAGTAAAAAAAGTATTATATAAACATGTACCATGTAATATACTATTTGATGAAAATATATAATAATGTAAATAAATTTAATTTTGTTATTGCTATTGAATATTTTAGAACTAGTTTTGTTCATTTTTTTTTGGGTATTTAGCTAGTAGGTGCCAAGAAGCTTATTTAAGAAAACTACACACTACAAGTTTTATCCAGACCATATAATTTATACCTAAATTTCCTTTTTTTTTATTATTGGTCATAATAATAGAATAGATAATAATTAATTAAAAAAAAGAAGATAATTCTATATATAAAGGAAAAGGAAATGGTTTATTACATTTTTGGAAGTTTCTCATGTGAATTAAATAAAATGGTATTTGTTAGCAGATGTTCGTTAGTTTTTGTATAGTCGTATAAAAGGCAGAAATAAAGTGAAAAGTGCATAGGGTTTTTCACTTATCTTCGAGGACGATCAACCCTCGAGACGTCCGAGCAATCTTAATTGACGAGCGAGCACACAATTAAAATTTCATGTGGTTTAACAACTGTAAATCCTTATTAGGTCACGTAACACAGTTCCGTTGGCCTTTTAATTAAACGCTCCGATCCGTTGACTCTTTTTCGCGCATTTGAATTGTACCAGTGGCATATCGAATCCAATCCTTTTTTCCTCTTCCTCGACTAAAATGATGAAATAAACCTGAACGGACAGAAACGGATTCTAATGGCGCAAATGTCTCAAATCATAATTATAACAGGTTTTCGACTGCTGTCTTCCATAAAAATAAATCAACGCGATAAATGGAAGTACCGGGGATGGATGGATGCGTGCATGTTTTATCCACGCCAAGTGGCGACAATAAAAATGCGGTTTTATTGCTTCATCTCAATGTCGTCAATGCTTTTACCCAAATAAAAGAGCGAGAGGAAGATGTAAAATGTGAAGAAGAAAAATATATATACAACGAACGTTATCAAATATGTCTCGTGGTTCATTACTTGATATTGGGAATTGACTACCGGGGGGAAATAGCGATCTAACGAACTCCAGAATAAACGAAAGTAAACGTTTAGTTACAATAAAAAACATATATGTGTATCGACATTAAAAGGATCTCGGGTTTAATTAGATTTGTCTGCTGTATACCATTAGATAAACTTTCATTTTTAATTAAATAAATGAATTCACTGCATAATATATAGTAACAGTAACAGGAAATAAAACATTAACTTATCGAAAGGGAAATAAAATAAATTATTTTAATCTTCCAAAACTTTTCACAGGCAGATTACAATGAATAGAATATTATAAATGTTCTAGGAACTACATTTTAAAACTCTTTCATAAATTAAAGTCTAAAAACATTGATAGTTCTTGGAACTATCTTAAATTGAATTTTGCACACTGTAAGATTTAGAAAATTTAGTTAATAAAGAAAGCAAAGAAAATCAAGACGAAATTAAAGAAATTTCAGCTAAAAAAGTTAAGGACCCTTTGGTCCTAAGTTAAGTAATATAAAAAGTAATTAAATAATAATAAAAACTTTTATTTTTCAGTGAAAATAATCCTGATTAAAGAAGAGGTGTTATTGTTAAGCGATCAGTGTTAAATTTAATAACTTCACATAGGTAATTGTTTAATAACAGAGAAAAAATGCACAAACTATAAACTTTAGGCTCATATTTTAAAATGTGATTTCACTTTGTAAATTGATTGTTTATTTAATAAAACTTTTCTTTGTTCGAAAAAAGTTTTTGATTTTCTTTACGAAAGAAGATATTTTCATTCTGGCCATAGTATTTTTATGTCTGAAAAAGAAGTTTCGCGTAACAAAGTAACTTAGTGATATGCATACTATTCGTTAATCGAGGTATTGATGTATTATAGATTATTGTAAAAATAATTGGTAGAACAAAAAGTCGATCTAAATGTATTTTTAATAATAAGATAAGAATTGCAATGTTCGTTAATAAAAAAACTAAAGCTTTTTTGTCTAATATAAATATAACGAATACAACGGATAATTTGCAAAAACATTAAATTGTGAAAATAAGTAGGAATAAGTAGGAATACCTTAAAAAAAATAGACATGTGACATAAATGAGATGAGGTATCAATTTTAAAATTAGAAAAATCACTTAAAAAAAAGAAGTACTTGAACGCTACATATAAGGGATTCCAAATAATTGGAGTAACTAGAAAATCCATGTACAAAGAACAAAACATTATTTTTAATTAAGTTTATATAGACATCCCCAATAAAAGTGCCGCATTTAAATTTGCTGCCTTTTTTTTGTATAAAGTTGGAAGATCTAAAATATATATAAATCAAACTCATTTTGAAATTTGTAAAGTTGAAATATTATACGTTGCATAAACTTTCAATCGAAATAATATTCGAAATGAGTCAACAATTCGAAGATAAATTTAAAAAAAATGTGGAAACTGATTCGATTTTGGATAATAAGAATTGGATAAGAATAATTAAAAGTTTCAAGAAAAATCAATCTGCATGATTTAATTAAAGCAAGAACTCAAACGAATAGACATAAAATGACATAATCGCAACATTTGTAATTTATATCGAACTCAAAATATTATCACTTTTCGAATAAATAATCCATACAATAAACTAAATATTGGTGTTGGTGCATAATTATCAGAAAAAATGTTGTTTTCTTAACTTTATTTAAAAAAATAATATTTGCAAATAAACATTTAAAAAATGTGATTTTAGA